AGCAGATGTTATTGGTCCATGGCTCTGCAGAAAAGCCAACAAGCAAAATGCTGTGAGAATCCCCCAAAAATGTTGCCATGACTTTTGCTTTTGACCAATCCACTTTTGCTTTGACTGAACCACTTCACCACTTGGTAGCCATGGCTTTGATTGTGCTCTGTCTTCAAGATTGTACTGGTAAGCCATGTGTCATCCTGTTAATTTTTTTTTTTCTTTCAAGAAATGCTTCAGGATTTTGATCCCACTTGTTTAAAATTTCCAATGAAAGCTCTGCTCTTGTCTGCAGCTAATCTGGGTGCAACAGTTTTAGCACCCATTGAGTGAAAAGCTTGCTCAACTTTAATTTTTTAGTCAGAATTGTGTAAGGTGAACCAATTGAGATTTCTATGGTGCTGGCTATTGCTCCCGCTGTTAATCAGCAGTCCTTTCAGTTAGGGCATGAAAAAGGTTAATTTTTTCCTTGCAAATTGCTGTGGATGGTCTACTGCTGTGGGCTTCATCTTTAACATAGTCTCATCCCTTCTTAAAATGAGCTTCAGTTAGGGCATGAAAAAGGTTAATTTTTTCCTTGCAAATTGTTGTGGATGGTCTACTGCTGTGGGCTTCATCTTTAACATAGTCTCATCCCTTCTTAAAATGAGTATCCATTTGTACACTGCTGATTTCTTTGGTGCATTGCCCTCATAGACTTCTCATAAAGCATGAATGATTTCACCATTTTCCACCAAAGCTTCACCACAAATTTAATGTTTGTTCTTGCTTCAATTTTAGCAGAATTCATATTGCTCTGATAGGGACTCTTTTCAAACTGATGTCTTCCCTTCTTAGTGCCTCAGACTAAATCCTGTTCAGACATGTTATAATAAGTTAGTATGATTTTATTTTGGTACAAAAGTTTTTTGAAATCCATGCATAGTTTTTTCATAATACACATTTTCCATGAACTTTTTGAAGATCCCTTATACACACAAAAATCCTTAATAAAATATTAGCAAAATCCAGCAATATATAAAAAGAATTCTTCACTATGTAGTAGGATTTATCCCAGGAATGAAAGATTGGCTTAACATCCAAAAATCAATTAATGTAATATACCATGTAAATAGAATAAAAGAAAAACTACATGATCATATCAATAGATGCATAATAAGCATCTATTGACAGAATTCAACAATCATTTATAATAAAAACTCAACAAGCTAGGAACAGAAGGGAACTTCCTCAGCCTAACAAAGAGCATCTACAAAACACCTACCTCACACTTAATGGTAAAAGGCTGAATGTTTTCCCTCTGAAATTCGGAACAAGGCAAGGATGTTAACCTTTGCCACTTCTATTCCACATTGTACTGGAGATTCTAGCCAGTACAATCAGGCAAGAAAAAGAAATTCTGATTAGAAAAGAAAAAGTTAGTCTTTCTTTGTTCACAGATGATCTGATCCTGTATGGAGAAAATCCTAAAGAATCCACAAAAAACTGCTAGAACTAATAGATGAGTTTAGCAAGGTCACAGGATACAATATCAATATACAAAAATCAACTATCTTTCTATACACCAGCAGTAAGTAATCTGAAAATGAAATTGAGAAAATCATTCCATTCACAACAGCATAAAAAATATTTCATAAATTTGTTAAAAGAAGAGCAAGACATGCGCTAATCACTATACGACATTGCTGAAACTAAAGAAAAGTGAATAAATGAACAGACATTCTATGTTTACTAATTCAAAAACCCAATATTGTTAAGATTGCAATTCTCGGGCTGGCTGGTTAGCTCAATTAATTAGAGCACAGCATTGTAACACCGAGGTTAAGGGTTCAGATCCCCACACTAGCCAACCACCAAAAGAAAAAAAGATTGCAATTCTCCCAGAATTTATCTATAAATTCAGTGCAATCCCTATTAAAATTCCAACAGTCATTATGCAGAAGTTGTGAAGCTGAATTTAGGTTTCATGGCAATACAAATGACCTTGAACACCAAAACAATTTTGAAAATGAAGACCATAGTTGGTTAGCTAGGCTTCCCAATTTCCAAACTTACTACAAAACTACAATAATCAAGATAGCATGGTATGGCATTAAGACAGACATATAGTTCAATGGAACAGGATTAAAAGTCCAGAAATTAACTCATATTTTTGATCAACTGATTTTTGACAAAGGTACCAAAGCAATTTAATGAGGAAAGGATAGTCCTTTAGACAAATGGCACTGAGATAATGGGACATCCATATGTAAAGAGATGAATTTAGATTTTTTTCCTCATAACAAACACAAAAATTAATGCAAAACTGTTTAAATGTAAATGTAAAAACTAAAATAGAAAACTTTTAGGAGAAAACATTGGAAGAAATCTTCATGACCTTGGGTTAGGCAAAGATTTTTTAGATATGACACCAAAAGGACAATCCATAGGACAAAAAAATTAATCAATTGGATGTCATCAAAATTTAAAACGTTTGTGCTTCAAAAGACATCGTTAGGAAAATGAAAGACATAACATAGAAAATACTTATAAATCATACATCTAATAAAAGGTTCTTATCTAGAATAAGAACTCTTGTAACTCAGTAATAAAAAAACAAGCAAACCAATTTAAAAATGGGCAAAAGATTTGAATAGACATTTCACCAAAGAATAAATAGAAATGGCTAATAACTACAAAAAAAGGTGCTCAACATCATTAGTCATTAAGGTGATGCAAATTAAAATCACAATGAGATACTATTTCACACTCACTAGAATGACTATAATGAAAAAAACAATAACAAGTATTGGGGAGGATGTGGAAAAACTGGAACCGTCTTACATTGCTTGTGAGAACATAAAATAGTACAGCTACTTTGGAAAACAGTTTGATAGTTTCTTAAGATGTTAAACATAAGTTTACTATACCATCCAGCAGTTCCACTCTTAAGTATCTACCCCAGAGAAATGAAAACATATATCCACACAAAGTCTTATATGCATTATCAGAATAGCCCCAAACTGGAAGCAATTCAAATGGCTTCCAACAGATGAACAAGTAAACAAAATGTAGACTATTCATATAATGGAGTATTATTCACCCATAAAAGGAATGAAGTACAGGTGCTCTTTGACTTATGATGGGCTATGCCCCAATAAACCCATTGTAAGTTGAAAATATCACAAGTCAAAAATGCATTTAATACACCTAACCTACCAAACATCATAGCTTAGCCGCTCTTTGACTTATGATGGGCTATGCCCCAATAAACCCATTGTAAGTTAAAAATATCACAAGTCAAAAATGCATTTAATACACCTAACCTACCAAACATCATAGCTTAGCCTAGCCTACCTTAAACATACTCAGAACACTTACATTAGTCTACAATTGGGCAAAATCATATAACACAAAACCTATTTTGTAATAAAGTGTTGAATATCTCATGTAATTTATTAAATACCCTACCAAATTATGGTTTCTACTGAATGCATATTGCATTCACACTGTAAAAGTTGAAAAATCGTAAGTCAAACCATCATAAGTCAGGGAACATCTGTACTGATACATACTACAAAATAGATAAGCCTCAAAAACACTATGCTAAGTAAAAGAAGCCAGACAAAAAGGGTTACATATTGTATGATTCCATTTATATGAATTGTCCAGAAAAGGCAAATTTATAGAGATGGCTAGCAGAACAGTGGTTATCTGGATCTAGGGGTGGGAGCTGAGAATTGATCGCATATGCTGGGCATGAGAGATCTTCTTCCGTTAATGAAAATGTTTCAAAACTGCATTGTGGTAATGTTGACACAACTCTGTAAATTTCTAAAAATTATTGAATTGTCACTTAAAACAAAGTGAATTTTATGATATGTACATTATACCCTCAATAAAGTAGGTTTTTAAAAACTACATGGACTTCAAATATTATATCTTTCAAATACTGTTACTTTCATTTCTTATGTTATAAAAATGACAAAACTTTTCTCTCATCATTCCTATTCTGCAACCAATTTTGTAACTTCTAGTCAATTTTTAACAGGTTGTGAAAGCTAATTCTCCAAAGTCCGACTCATTTTCTTTAATCTATTGAATCAAGATGACAATTTTGATGGTGAGTTTCCTTCATTCTCCAATAACCCGAGTAGATGTAATCAGGCAAAATGAATGATCTAATGACTCAGTCTGTACTACTTTACAAAGCTGTAATGATTTTAAAGCCCCTAAGTCTGCTGAAGAAATGAAAATACCACCTGTCAAATAAAATGATATATACATTCTGTGGTATGTACAGTATAAATCATTGTCTAACTCTGGCATGATACCCACTTTTGCATCCCAGGTTTTTAACCCTTTTTTTGCTCCCCTTTCACATAGAGAGAAAGAATTTACATTGCTCTTCATTAGACTTGTTTTCTCTCCTTAAAAACTTCCAAATACAACACCAATCTCTTTCCTCGGATCTCAGGAATAAAGACCTCTTCCAACTCATTTGCTCCCCAAAACATATAACCTACACAAATAACTTATCTGTTCTCTATAGTGAATTTACCCTTGTGAAAAGAGATGTTCCTTACTTAAATATGATGCAAGTATTCTTGAAAGGTGGATTCAAACCCCAAGAGAAGAGGCCTCCAAAAATGTGTGTGAATCCGTACTTCCACTGGAGGGGTGAGGCAGCTGCTGTGAGGGGATGAGGAGAGACTCTACAGCTCCTTAGGCGGCCCTGCCCCTCTGGGCCAGAAGCACCTGCCATCCGGCCGAGGGCCACGCGTCTCACCTCCATCCCGCGCTGTCAGACTGACCAGACGCAGTTCCCTTCTCCCAACGCCACCTTAGCAGCTGCACTGTATGGCCTAGCCCATCCCCTCTCAAACAAGAGTGGTTTTAGAGTGGCGACACCCCAAAATATAGACCAAAGAGAAAGAGGAGCTAGAGGCACTTGTCTTACTTCCCACCATTTTTAAGACCAANTGGCCTGCCGCGCCGGGGTCTGGCGCCAGGCGCAGCCCTCACTCACCGAAAGAGCGCTGGGCGCATGCGCCTTGAGGAGCGGGTAGAGTGAGGGGTTCTCTACAGGCGGGAGGGGGAGACGGAAATGCAAGGGGTCGTCGCTCATTGCCTCGCCCCTGGCCGGGCGCTCGGTGGAGAGCGCGTTGGGGGCGGAAAGGGAGCGCTGGTCGCCGGGGAGGTGAAGGCCGGAGCTCCCACTAGAGCTGGAGCAGGGTCGCGGCGGCTCCGCTGACCCGTCGGTGTTTGTATATGTGCCCGCCCAGGGAGACATGGAGAACTGTTTGGTGGCCGCGGCGCTGAACGGGATGGACCGACGTTCCCTGCAGCGCTCGGCTAGGCTGGGGCAAGAAGTGCTGGCGCGGGCCAAGAGGAGGGCGGTGGACTGGCCTTCGCAGGAGCATCCCAAAGGCAGCATGGGGGTCCTTTCCCGGGAGGTGCCCTACCGAGAAAGGCGGCTGGCAGCCGGCGCCCAGCGCCTTCTCCCGGGAGAGGTGAGGAGCCCGTGCTGGGGGACCGGCCCAGTCACTCGCCCACCTGTGGCATGCTGGGAACCAAGGGCGCGCCACACAGAAGCGCCTGAGAGATCCTGCCCTTGGTAGAAGTTGGAAAGTATCGATGAGTGGAAAAATCCTTTGAAAACTCTTTACATTGGGCAGATTCTTATTGAGTAGCTGTAAAATAATGATAGTTCTTGGCCCTGGTTTTTAAAAAATTCTTACATGGTACCATCTAATATTAGGGGAAACCCAGCAAACCTATCTTTTAAGTCCTGGATAAGCTGCATGTCTGTCTTTTAGAGTTGGAATTCTTTCTCAGTAAGATCCTTCTTACTGACTTGAACTTGCAGAGGCCTTTCCAAAATTAAAACGGAAGCTATTTCCGGAATGGCTAATTATCCAGTAGGGACTCCTAGATCTCACCTGTGACTTGCCATTTATTCAAATAGAGAGAAGAAAGACACCCAACCCTTAGTGCTTCCTTCAGAACAATGGCTGAATTCATGGACTATACTTCAAGTCAGTGTGGGGTAAGTTGATGTGAACCAAAGCCATGCCCCTGATCTTTCCGGAATTTAGGGAGAATCTGGAGACTGTTTCCCCTGCCTGGCCTTCGTGGGCAGGTTGTAATTAGTCATGATTTAAGCCATGTGGTAAATCCAAGTTAGAATCCATCCAACAAATATTTTTTTTTTTTTCCTTTTTGTCTTTTTTCGTGACCGGCAACGGATCACAACCCTCAGTGTTGGCGCCCGTACCGGACCCGGACGGGCAACGGGATCGCAACCCTCGGTGTTGCGCCCGCACCTCGCTCAGCCTTTGAACGGCCTGTCTGTATGTGGGATCCGAACCCTCGGCGGGAGCGCTGCTGCGCTCCTAAGCAGCGCACTGTAGCAGTGCGCCACCGGGCCGGCCCTCCAACAAATATTTATTGAATACCTAACTCTAATTGAAGATACAGCAGTGAACAAGAGGTCTCAGCTCTCATTGAGTTTTCAATCTAGTGGGAAAAACAGAAAAGAGCTTATTTTCTGAATTGTAAAGCAATTAAGTCAAATATTAGGGTTTGGCTTTTTTAAGTTTGAACTGAAGTTAAAAATTTCTAGAATCACTGAACTGGAACTGAGCTTTTGTTTTCAAAATGTATTGAAACAAAAAACTGAAAAAATCTATGTGGTAAATCTTAACATCTAATGTTTGTTTCAAGTCCCTAGTAATGTATTTTTTAAGTGTGTCCCAGTGGGTCTGTCGGGCTGGGTCACAGACCCTTCAAACCTGTATTGTACCCTCATATGCAGGTCGCAACCTTGGTAATTGGAAAAAGATCCTGGGAACCACTCACAAGGTTGACATGCTTTGTTCGCGTGCAAGTTCAGCTTCCAGCCTCCTAGTGGTTCAGAGCTGCTGTCCTTTATACTAGAGTCAGATAGCCAAGGAACACATGGGTGCAAGGCAAATAACCAAGGAATACCTGGGTGCACATGTGTAATTAACGTATTTACAACAGACAGTCTGAGCCATGCTTAACCAGATATGAGGTGAGGCAGCCTGACAGTCTGTCTCCATTCTCCTCACAGGGTCCATATCAGTCGTTGTCAACAAGGATGGTTATGTGGAACAAATGCAGTGAATTCCCAGGAATCAGATCCATGTTCTGCCACTTAGTGGCTGTAATGCCTTAGGCCAGTTAGTCTCAGGCTGTGACCAGAAGAATGACAAATGGGAAAACACTTGAGGACACGAAGCTAATGTTGTATTTTAGCTTCCCCATTGTAAAATGGAGTTTTCTAAAGTCCTTTCAACCTTTACAGTCTCTTTGGTTTCTGCAGAGAGATGAACTCCAGTTAATTATCATAAATTATAGCATGAGGGATATAAATGAGATTTTTAGTACCATTTATTGAAATGAATGAACAAAGGTTTTAAAGTCCCTTTTCTCAAACCTATGTGCTTTAAGTAGTTTGAGGGAATGTTGAAGGTAGACCAACCAACATCCAAGGAAATCACCTACATGGAAGGTGCTCTCTATCTTCTAGGAATTACAACAGACTCTGGTTTCTTCCAGCCTTAACATTTTTGAGTCTTACATGGATATAAGGATGCTGGTCTGTAAGGGAGAAGGAAGAGGATACATTGTCCTGCTTTTTAGTTTCATATGTTAAGATCTCAAACTGTGGGGCCGGCCCGGTGGCGCACTGCTACAGTGCGCCGCTTGTGAGCGCGGCGGCGCTCCTGCCGAGGGTTCGGATCCCACATACAGACCGGTTCCCGCTCACTGGCTGGGCGAGGGGCGGGAGCAGCAGCGAGGGTTGCGATCCCGTTACTGGTCCCGGTCCGGTACGGGCGCGACACTGAGGGGTGCGGTCCGTTGCTGGACACGAAAAAAAAAAAAAAAAACTCAAACTGTAATCTTTCTACATCTTTTATAAAAATCCTTGTGACTCCAAGAATAGGGTTTCAACCAATGAGATATGGTTCAGAGAATATTTTTATGTTATTTGTACTGTTAAGTGATTTTTAAAAAATACATTAACTTCAGCTCTACTGTAAGGTGATTAACTTAAACACTTGGTTCATGGTTCAGTAAAAGGAATAATATTTGTTGGTTTGAGGTTTAACTCTTCATTTTGGTTTTCAGTTCATGCTTCAATTCAGGTCTCCATTATGGAATGCAGCATCAGAATGCCTTGACTTTCTAGAGATAGAATTAAGAATGATGTTCTGGATTTGCCTCGAAATTTTGAAGCAGCCCCTAAAATATCATTAGATCCGTGTCCTGAAGTGCTTTCCCCAGCTTCTCATTCTTCTGGTCACATGTTTTAGACACTGTCCATACACTATATTCAAAATAAGAAGTCTTGTGATGTCCTCATCATTAGTCATAATCAAGGGCAAGTTTAAGATTAACTTCGAGGGGGACAAAGGAAGTAGACAAGAAAAATGTAACTGTTTTCTGATCCTTTGAATTATTCTTCTTAACTTGGAAACCTCTCACTCTACTCCCCCGCATGGGAAGCATGGGGAGAAGGGCTGTGTAGCTTCATTTCCTGCTGTATTTCTAAACCTCCAGGAAAGACACCCTTCTCTTCCCCTGTCCTTGTCTGAGACTTAGACAATAAATATGAACTGTTCATCAGAATTTTTCAGGGGAGGAAATGAAAGGGCATGTGTATTTGACATTGGGGTGTAGATATGAAAATTGTTTCACCTGGCAGAGAGCATGCTCCTGCTCACCTCCAGTTGGCCACAGTTCTTGCCCTACTGTGGCAGCAGATGGCAGCAAAGTAATGCCAGATGCAGTTTCCTTCTCTGCAGCCCCTTCACATGGGCTGAGGTTTGTAATGATTACAGAGGCCTGTCAGGAGGGCAGGTAATTTACCTTTGGTCTCTTGCCTCCTTCCTTAGCCATACTTTGCCTGGGTATCAGAGGGTTTTTTGACAATTTGACCAGACAATTTGGTTACCCAACCTTATTCATATTACTTCTTCAGAAATATTATTCATCTGTGCCAGAGGAAGGAGGCGCAACCCATGTCTATCGTTATCACAGAGGGAAGTCAGAGCTCTTCATGTGCCCAGACACAGGGAATGGTCAGGTATGTATCTTCAGCTGTCCTGTGCTGTACCCCCAGCCTCCCAAAACATGAGACCCTGTATTTGGGGGCACTTGCTGTACTTTATATCCTTGGATGCTTGTGCTCAACAGAAATGTATCAACTCACAGCCTTACAGAACTTACAGCAATGAACATGAAGTAGAAGTTTGTCCAAAATATAAGATTGAAATATAGAATTGATGCCACTGTAGGATGTTTAGTTGAACGTGCAATCCTGGGCCCCAGGATTCTTGGGCAGGCTTAAAGAAGAGAGCTTCATGCCTCTTCCACATCTAGGGATGAGAAAGAGATTTTTAATGATCACATACTCTAAGGTAAGTGATAACTATCATATCTTTGGTAATTTTTAACAAGGAAGTGCGAGGGTGGAGTCTCTTTTAACAAAATACTTTTCCTAAAGATAATAACAATCACAGGCCTCTCACTATAGTGTCCTTTACCGCATGTCATTCTGAGGAAGCCAAAGATTTTACTTGAACTGATTCAACAGGAGTGGCTGGTGGTGGTGGGTTTTGAAAGAATAGATTTTTTTTTTTTTTTTTAACTCACCTAGTTGTACTCAGAGATAGCAAACTTAAGTCCAGAATCTAATTCATAAATTGGATTCCTGACTTCTCTGGCTTGTGGGTCATCTTGGGGTATTAGAGTATTAGAGTAAAGGGCTTTAGGAAAAGGGTGGGAGGGTGGGCACGAGAATATGAGTTCAGAGCACCTCCTGCATTCCTTCCCTGGCCAGGGATGTGAAGAGCAGTATCAGAGCCTGAGTCCTGGGTTCCCTTTCCTGGCCTAGCCTGAGCTGTCTTACTTAAGAGCATCTGACCCTAAGGGGGTTACATGTGGGGAAGAGTCATTCCAATCCTTCCCTAATGTATGTTGGTACCTCTAAGACACTTTGCCAATCATCCTGTTCCCTTCTAGTGCCCTGACTCCTAGGGGAAACACAGAAGAGAATTATATTTTCTGAGAGCCTGTTAAGTGTTAGTCACTTTTGCACTTCCCTACAATCCAGTAACCCCATATTATACACTAAGAAACCAAGGCTCAGAGAAGTTAATCTGTCCCTCTTAGTAAATAGCAGAGATAGGATTTAAACTCAGATCTGTGTGACTCCAAAACCCATGTAAGGATAAAAAGTAATCATGGGGGCCGGCCCGGTGGCACACTCGGTAGAGTGCGGCACTTGGGAGCGTGGCGGTGCTCCCACCGAGGGTTTGGATCCCATATAGAGACCAGTCCACTCACTGGTTGAGCGCAGTGCAGGCGCGACACCGAGAGTTGCGATCCCGTTGCCGGTTACGAAAAAAGACAAAAAGGAAAAAAAAAAGTAATCATGGTAAAAATCTGACTAAATATTCCTCATAGAATTCACTAAAAAGAGCTTTAATAACTTAGGTGACAACATAGAAAAAGCTGACAGAACAAAAGTTAGTTCCTAGTAAGGTAGAAAATTTCTCTTTACAATCCAGAAATCAAAGCTTGGTCACTAATCAATGTTTCTACATGTCTCTTCAGAGAGAAGACAGAGAAAAGACATCCCTTGGTTTTGGAGGCATCTACCAAACAACAGAGCGTGCTCTAGAGGCATCCCAGCCTGTGAGTACAGAACTGCTAGTGTACTGCTTTTCACCACCATTACAATTTCATAAACCAGTTGAGCTGGTTGTTATAGGGCTCTCTCTTTGTATTTGATCTGTGGTATTTTTAAGTTGGAGTGTTTTTACACTTGAGGAGTGTAAAATTTGGTTCAGTGTAAAATTATATTTTCTTGGTATCCTTCCTTCACTTGAAGCTTCAGGGATATTCTTTGTGCCTGAACTCATAGTTGTGGTTGGAAAGAATGTGAAATATTCACATCTCAGTTCCTACAGCACAGCTGGGCCAGCACTGGGTCCTGCTGGAATTCTACCATCTGTTCAAGCAGCAGGAGGGACCTGATCCTCCTGCTTACAAAGTGAAAACTATTGCTGAGATTCTGAAACATACATTTGGTGAGATCAGGTTCCAAAACATTTGAAGGCATTCGTTCCCATTTTCCACAAATGTTTCTCTGTAAAAACATATAATGGTGAGTTTTTAATTTTTAGGATAAAGTACTTGTTAGTTCATGAACCCAGGGAGTCTTTTTGGGACTTAGAAGGATTGGAATTCTAAGAAAATGAATTTCAGCACGTTGCTGCAATAAATTCCTTACTTTTTGTTTGTAGACAATTTGCTACTAGCTGGGATTTGGAGTATAGTAACAATTAAGAATATCCTGCTTCTAGTACAAATGTAAGTTGTTGGGCTTAGATGCCTCCAACACTTGCAAATTTTTGATAATGCTAATCTTTCTGATGTTCCACAGTGTTGGAGTCACAGATGCCAGTCTTACACCAGTGTTTGTTTCCTTGTATGCAGACAAAGGAAGCGTCCTTGGCTTTCTGCGATTCTGACAGAGCCATATTTTCTGGAACCTACTTTTGTTTATTTACACAGTTGACAATCAGTGAATAGTTGTGACATTGTCATATACATGCACTTCAGTTAAGTGATAATAGACCTCCAGTTTTGTAGTAACTGGGCAGGCATGAAAGGATATAACATATATCCTTTGGACAAAATTGTCTTCAAATGTATCTGCAAGGTGGGAAGGTGAGGGGAGGAAGTTTTGTAAAAGTATAAATATTATTTATTTTTCTTGGTGGAGTTGGCTANTCTCTGCAGCCCCTTCACATGGGCTGAGGTTTGTAATGATTACAGAGGCCTGTCAGTAGGGCAGGTAATTTACCTTTGGTCTCTTGCCTCCTTCCTTAGCCATACTTTGCCTGGGTATCAGAGGGTTTTTTGACAATTTGACCAGACAATTTGGTTACCCAACCTTATTCATATTACTTCTTCAGAAATATTATTCATCTGTGCCAGAGGAAGGAGGCGCAACCCATGTCTATCGTTATCACAGAGGGAAGTCAGAGCTCTTCATGTGCCCAGACACAGGGAATGGTCAGGTATGTATCTTCAGCTGTCCTGTGCTGTACCCCCAGCCTCCCAAAACATGAGACCCTGTATTTGGGGGCACTTGCTGGACTTTATATCCTTGGATGCTTGTGCTCAACAGAAATGTATCAACTCACAGCCTTACAGAACTTACAGCAATGAACATGAAGTAGAAGTTTGTCCAAAATGTAAGATTGAAATATAGAATTGCTGCCACTGTAGGATGTTTAGTTGAACCTGCAATCCTGGGCCCCAGGATTCTTGGGCAGGCTTAAAGAAGAGAGCTTCATGCCTCTTCCTCATCTAGGGATGAGAAAGAGATTTTTAATGATCACATACTCTAAGGTAAGTGATAACTATCATATCTTTGGTAATTTTTAACAAGGAAGTGCGAGGGTGGAGTCTCTTTTAACAAAATACTTTTCCTAAAGATAATAACAATCACAGGCCTCTCACTATAGCGTCCTTTACCGCATGTCATTCTGAGGAAGCCAAAGATTTTACTTGAACTGATTCAACAGGAGTGGCTGGTGGTGGTGGGTTTTGAAAAGAATAGATTTTTTTTTTTTTTTTTAACTCACCTAGTTGTACTCAGAGATAGCAAACTTAAGTCCAGAATCTAATTCATAAATTGGATTCCTGACTTCTCTGGCTTGTGGGTCATCTTGGGGTATTAGAGTATTAGAGTAAAGGGCTTTAGGAAAAGGGTGGGAGGGTGGGCACGAGAATATGAGTTCAGAGCACCTCCTGCATTCCTTCCCTGGCCAGGGATGTGAAGAGCAGTATCAGAGCCTGAGTCCTGGGTTCCCTTTCCTGGCCTAGCCTGAGCTGTCTTACTTAAGAGCATCTGACCCTAAGGGGGTTACATGTGGGGAAGAGTCATTCCAATCCTTCCCTAATGTATGTTGGTACCTCTAAGACACTTTGCCAATCATCCTGTTCCCTTCTAGTGCCCTGACTCCTAGGGGAAACACAGAAGAGAATTATATTTTCTGAGAGCCTGTTAAGTGTTAGTCACTTTTGCACTTCCCTACAATCCAGTAACCCCATATTATACACTAAGAAACCAAGGCTCAGAGAAGTTAATCTGTCCCTCTTAGTAAATAGCAGAGATAGGATTTAAACTCAGATCTGTGTGACTCCAAAACCCATGTAAGGATAAAAAGTAATCATGGGGGCCGGCCCGGTGGCACACTCGGTAGAGTGCGGCACTTGGGAGCGTGGCGGTGCTCCCACCGAGGGTTTGGATAACCCCATATTATAGACTAAGAAACCAAGGCTCAGAGAAGTTAATCTGTCCCTCTTAGTAAATAGCAGAGATGGGATTTAAACTCAGATCTGTGTGACTCCAAAACCCATGTAAGGATAAAAAGTAATCATGGGGGCCGGCCCGGTGGCACACTCGGTAGAGTGCGGCACTTGGGAGCGTGGCGGTGCTCCCACCGAGGGTTTGGATCCCATATAGAGACCAGTCCACTCACTGGTTGAGCGCAGTGCAGGCGCGACACCGAGAGTTGCGATCCCGTTGCCGGTTACGAAAAAAGACAAAAAGGAAAAAAAAAAGTAATCATGGTAAAAATCTGACTAAATATTCCTCATAGAATTCACTAAAAAGAGCTTTAATAACTTAGGTGACAACATAGAAAAAGCTGACAGAACAAAAGTTAGTTCCTAGTAAGGTAGAAAATTTCTCTTTACAATCCAGAAATCAAAGCTTGGTCACTAATCAATGTTTCTACATGTCTCTTCAGAGAGAAGACAGAGAAAAGACATCCCTTGGTTTTGGAGGCATCTACCAAACAACAGAGCGTGCTCTAGAGGCATCCCAGCCTGTGAGTACAGAACTGCTAGTGTACTGCTTTTCACCACCATTACAATTTCATAAACCAGTTGAGCTGGTTGTTATAGGGCTCTCTCTTTGTATTTGATCTGTGGTATTTTTAAGTTGGAGTGTTTTTACACTTGAGGAGTGTAAAATTTGGTTCAGTGTAAAATTATATTTTCTTGGTATCCTTCCTTCACTTGAAGCTTCAGGGATATTCTTTGTGCCTGAACTCATAGTTGTGGTTGGAAAGAATGTGAAATATTCACATCTCAGTTCCTACAGCACAGCTGGGCCAGCACTGGGTCCTGCTGGAATTCTACCATCTGTTCAAGCAGCAGGAGGGACCTGATCCTCCTGCTTACAAAGTGAAAACTATTGCTGAGATTCTGAAACATACATTTGGTGAGATCAGGTTCCAAAACATTTGAAGGCATTCGTTCCCATTTTCCACAAATGTTTCTCTGTAAAAACATATAATGGTGAGTTTTTAATTTTTAGGATAAAGTACTTGTTAGTTCATGAACCCAGGGAGTCTTTTTGGGACTTAGAAGGATTGGAATTCTAAGAAAATGAATTTCAGCACGTTGCTGCAATAAATTCCTTACTTTTTGTTTGTAGACAATTTGCTACTAGCTGGGATTTGGAGTATAGTAACAATTAAGAATATCCTGCTTCTAGTACAAATGTAAGTTGTTGGGCTTAGATGCCTCCAACACTTGCAAATTTTTGATAATGCTAATCTTTCTGATGTTCCACAGTGTTGGAGTCACAGATGCCAGTCTTACACCAGTGTTTGTTTCCTTGTATGCAGACAAAGGAAGCGTCCTTGGCTTTCTGCGATTCTGACAGAGCCATATTTTCTGGAACCTACTTTTGTTTATTTACACAGTTGACAATCAGTGAATAGTTGTGACATTGTCATATACATGCACTTCAGTTAAGTGATAATAGACCTCCAGTTTTGTAGTAACTGGGCAGGCATGAAAGGATATAACATATATCCTTTGGACAAAATTGTCTTCAAATGTATCTGCAAGGTGGGAAGGTGAGGGGAGGAAGTTTTGTAAAAGTATAAATATTATTTATTTTTCTTGGTGGAGTTGGCTAGCCAGTAGTTTGGTTTTTTCCCCCTGTGTTGGGGGTTAGAAATGACAACTTCTGCCTGTGTCTAAATGTATCTGCAAGGTGGGAAGGTGAGGGGAGGAAGTTTTGTAAAAGTATAAATATTATTTATTTTTCTTGGTGGAGTTGGCTGGCCAGTAGTTTGGTTTTTTCCCCCTGTGTTGGGGGTTAGAAATGACAACTTCTGCCTGTGTCTCCTTCTGAGCATTGAGTAAGCATGTAATGGCATCCTAGCTGTCACTTTGGCTCTTAATTACAGGGTCTTTTCTGGTTTGTGACTTTGCCCTTTTGCCATTTGAACTGAGACCCATCCTCTGCCTGCACACCTTCCGTGACCCACTTCCAAGCCATATGTGAAGTCTATCCTTGGAGGATGGTTTGTGCTCAGCTCAGCTCTAGTCACAAATCTTTCCATTAACTCCAACTTCTAATGTTTTGCACTATAGGAGAAACAATCCTCCAAGAGAGAGCCTTTGCCAGCCAGCTGACTTGTTTCTTCAGTGTTAGAATGGAATCCGCTCATATTGTTCTTAGCTTTAGGAGAAAAGAAATGCTTCATCTTCCTGATAATGAATTTAGCAAAGCACAGTTAATTATTCCAAGGTACCTTGCCAGTACTGCTAATCTGTGCCACTTTCTACTTTTGATCCCCAAAACAGTAGCCACTAGTCTTTCCCTCTGCCTAATTCTTAACTAGAATTCCAACTAGAGTGTTCTTTTTATAAATCCTTCATGTTCCTATAACCCTTTAGCATTTACAAAGTGTTTTCACATGCTTATTTGTGAGGTAGGTATTATCACAGTTTTAGAAATAAGGAAACAAGCATAAGGAAAGGCTGAGACTTACCTAAATAACAGTGCTGTATGGTGTTACCAAGCTGAGCCTTGAAAGCAGGGCCTCTATCTCCCACATTAGTGCTTCTTTCCATCACACCTATGGCACACAGAGGTGGAGGTGCCATGATGGCATTGGGATGTAAAATCTGTAAACTGCTAACATCCTCTTTCCTTGCAGGCTGAGATGATATCTAAGGATCTCTACATAGAAGTATATCCAGGGACCTATTCTGTCACTGTGGGCACAAGTGACTTAACCAAGAAGACTCATGTGGTAGCAGTTGATTCAGGACAAAGTGTGGACTTGGTCTTCCCTGTATGATGTTGATCATCACTGCCATCATATCACCTTTTTTTAAGTAGCAAGAAGAATAAAGCCACCATATAATTCTCTTAATAGTTACATATTAATCCTGCTTTTAGTGCTGACTGTGTCACCCTTCCTGGGAACTGGAGTCTTGTCTCTTTCAGTGCCTGTTTTGAGAGTATAGAAGTCCCCCATCCTCGTGTGCCTGCAAGTAATAATGTAATGATGCTGTCTGAACAGTTTTTACTGCTTACTTCCCAAGTAAAGGTTAATTATAATAAAGGAAGAGAGTTGGAAATGAAGAGAATTCACTTTTATTGGTAGTGAGAGGTGAAACAAAAGGTTGCTCATGTACAACTGTAGCCTTTATGAAAACATGGCAGAGAGGCTGTGGACACATTCGCCTAAAGCAAACTGACCACACCCTGTAGCTTCTGTGGAAGAGGCATCCTCAAGCAATCTCACCAGGCCTCTGGCAGAGAGCCTGGGGCAGGGCCGCCACACTCCTTCCTGTTCCCCTCACGACAGGTGCCTTCCTGCTGCTCATCTGCAGGGAAGTTTTAATGGGATGGAGACGCTGCTGCTCATTCAGCTGTCACCTGTGGCCTGTACGCTACCTCCTTCCCTTGAAGAAGGCCTTGTCAGCCTCTCTTTGTAGCTCCTCCTCAAGTATTTACCATCATTGTTTAACTTCCTGTAACAGAAAAAAAATCCTGAGAGGCTTATGCTGACTAATTTTAAGGATCAAAAGTCACTGGTTTTAAAAAGTCACTGATGTATCCCAAACTTTTTTTTTTTTTTTTTTTTTGGCAGCTGGCTACTGGGATCCAAACTAGTAATGCTTGGTGTTATAAGGCTGTACTCTAATGAACTGAGCTAACTGGCCAGCCCCTCCAAATTTCATTAAGCTACCAAACCAAGAGTATTATTGCATCTCCCAGTTTAGTTGCCTGGTGATTCATCTCATTTTGAACATAACAAGTCTTTACTCAGGAAAAATGCCAGTATTTTATATGATGAAAACAAGCTTTTAAGTAGAGCTATATTAGCCTTCCTAGTGAGGAACAGACTCCCATGGACACAGGGCCTACTAAAGCAAACCTGTGCCCAACACCACAGGGCAGAGGGTCATTTAAATGGAGATCTTTACACCATCCCAAGAAGTCTATGAGGAACCCTGTGAGTTCTGTAACCCTTCTGAAGTTACATACAAAATTGTGGGTATCTGCATTTTTCCTTGAAAAGAGGCCATGGGTTTTACCATTCTCAAAGGGGGTGAACCAAAAAGAAGCACTTAAAGATCTCCTTCCCCAAATCCCAAATCCTTTACCTGAATCCTCAGGGCTTTTAGTCTAAGGAATTCTTGACCCTCTGTGTCGCAATACCCTGACAGTTTTCTGTGTTCACCTTCCTCTGGCAGGGTCTGTGGTGGCTTTTGGTTGCTTTCAGGGCCAGCTCCTTGGTAGTCCCCAGTGCTACAGCTTGTACTCTCTCCTGTTTGTTGTTCTCTTCTTTCCTGATGTTGCAGCATCTTGTTCCTAAAACCCAAAAGTCAATTATTTTGAGTAGGCCACCATTTTGATGGGATTAGTCTTGATGACAAGTAGGACTATATTAAGGACCACTGAATCACTTAAGTATGTATAAGCTCCTAGCTTTGTTCTCTATTTTTAAAGAGAAATAAAATTTGTTAATCATTTCTGGCCATTATGCTTTGGAGAAAGGTTATTATCTGATACCCAGATTTGGTGTTGTAGGGGAAGTTATCAGATGTGTTTTCCAAATGGCCAGCAGGGGAAGCAAAGGTAACCAACTGTTACCAGTTGAAGAGCTTCAACTCCTTCACTGGTCAGTGTTACCACCGGTAACGCTGATCACAAAGAAGAGACAATAAGCTGATGAAAAAACAAGTTTTAAGTAATTGGATAAGGCAAAACAAAAATAATGGTAGATGTGACTTCCTGAGGACTAGAGAACAATCTAAAAAGGAAGGAATACTTTTAGGTGTTTTTTTAAAACTGCAGATTTAGTCCTGGTTCAGTCATGAGAAGGGAGGAGAGCATCATGACAGCTGGCAGCCAACAATCTGGCCTCCCTAGGACTGTTGGGATCAAACAATAACCTCTCACTGCCTGTACAGTAATGGAAAGTAACAAAAAGGACCCACGCCAGAGGTTTCCTAAGAGGCAGAACTCAAGACCAGCTATCAATCATCAGTACTCGACAGAATTGATATCAAGTACTGTATGATCAAGTACTGGTTAAATATCAAGTGCAGTTAGGAGAAGCAAAGCAGCACCTTAAAAGGATACAAAATCTGGAGGGGAGAGATGGAAAGCTCTGGTGTTTGCCATAGTTTCCAGCCCTGGCCCACACATGGTCTTATGAGCTTCACCTTTACTAGTTAGCTGTGGCAGGCAGTACTGCATCTGTGACAAGGGCTGGGGGTGGCTTCTTGCTCCAAACCCCATCTCAGGCATGTTCTTCATAGATCTTGGAACATGCCCGATGATGCTCATGGGTAAGCCGCAGGAATTAACCTTTCTTTGGAGCATAACAAAAGACCCAGTACCTAAAGGAAAGCCAGACCAAATACCTGAAGATGCTATATTTCTCTTCTTTATTGTCAATATTAGAATTTATTTTGAGAGGAAGAAAAGTTTGGAGTGGATCTGTTTAAATATGGTGACTGGGAGAGAGACAATATAGGTGTAAGTGGCTTTGCGCAGTGAAGATAAGAGCAGTGGATGCTTAGGGTCAGAGGAAGTTTGTTTGCACTGAATCGGGTGTGGAACCAGTCTAGAGATTGCTATTGAACACGCCACAACAGTGGGGACACAGATATGGCACTTGGGGCATGTCTGACTCCCACAGCCCCTCTCTGGTTACCCCACTGTTGCTCCTCTCCCTGATGCTGGGCTCAGTGCTATCTCAGTTGCTCCCCACAGACTCCTCTCTGTTGAGTAGGTACAGCTTTTCTTTCTCAGGCTGTCCTGAAGCAGGAGGCAGTGGAAGCTATGGAGAATTTAGCATGACATCTGTAGATTCTGGCACCATTTTCTTTATATCAGCACTTGTTGGGAGGGCAGATCTTACAGAAACGGCAGTCTCCAAGTAGCTGCTGCTAAGGCTATTGTGAAATAACATTGTGAGATTGCAGTGACCCATTTCACAGAAGCCCAGGACTCCTCCCCCGTTATATTTTCAACACAAAGTTTCCTCTTGGAGAGGAGGAAGAGTTCAGATGGCCATAGCTGGATTCTTGTCCCTCTAATTGTTTCCCTGTCAAAGATGGTGGTTAAGATTCCACACCTTGAAAGCCAGGGAAGCCCTGCAACACTCGTGTAAAATATAACTACAGCATACTTAGATCCATCCCCACCAGTCCCAGATCTTAGGGGTGCAAAGGGGTCACCCATGAAATTTTCTCATTGTAGAAACAATTTCTCAACCTTCTGGAACTGAAGACTAATAAAGTCCTTACTTCTGGGGCAAGATTGAAATACTCATGGGCTGAGCAGTCCTGCTGGCTTAGCAGCTGTCCTAGAACTAGGACGATGGCTTCAAACAAGGACCCACAGGGGGTCCCAGTGTGGACAATGCCTCACAGCATCCTTGCACCAGATACCCATTCACTGAATGTTAAATCAATGACCCCAGGGTTCTAGTCCAGGGCTGAGCGTATGCAGGCCACCTCCTTCACACAGCTCTGCCAGCTGGCGTAGGCTTCTGCTCCTTCTGGGTCCTTTGGGAGTTTAGATAGGATAGGTATGAGGCAAGCAATGATGCTGCTCCCCAAACCTACCAGGGCAGGCCACACAGTTCTCAGTTCAAGGTAAAGAAGTTTGGGGATGGCTATACACTGCCAATGACAAACAGTTTCACACTGTTTCCCCACAAGCTATAAAGAATGAGCAGCATAATGAGGTGCCCTGGCTGTTTCCCTCACTAACTTACTAAGGGGTCCATCTGCTGACCAGTCTTCAAGAACCATTTTCTGTGCTGCTTAGGGCATCAACTCTAATCAATACCTGAAGGCATTTTGACTGTTCATCTAGAGAAAAAATAAGGTCTCCAAAAAAAAAAAAAGCAGGGGGTGAAAATGGAAAGTAAGAGTTCCCCATCACTAGAGACTAGTGAAGAAAAAAGTCAGGCATTAAATAAGGGTGCAAACCTTGGCACAGAGATCAGCCCATCCTTCCTCTCCTGTTGGGCTTTATAGCCTCAATGGAAACTCACCATTTCCCTGTCATCACAGTCTCCCCATCAACATGACCAGACTCCCAAGTATTACTTCCAATTCCAGCAGAGTGGACAAGTGCATCAGACTCCTGAGAGATGTGGAAGGGAAGGAAGCAGGGGCAGAAGACACCCACGTGCTGGGTATACCTGGCTTCCCAGGGTGTGGCTCAGGCCCATTTCTCCTCCAATACCTCCACACAGGCTTATGGAGGCCACTCTGCCTCAGAGGCTTCTCAAGAAGGATGGGGTCTGTGTTGACTGTGCTGTTCACCATCAGTCTCTGGGGAAGGCTCATCTCCAGATCATTCGCTAAATCCCCTTCAGAGGAGGAGGAGGAGGAAACAGCCACAGGAGCATGCACTGCTACTTTCTCCTTGTCAGGACCGTCTAGGGGCAAAAGCTGTTCTGTGGGCTTTGGCTCTGACTTCGGAGGTTCTTTGGCTGCAACCTCTGAGTTGCTGGTTAGAGGCCACCATGTGGGGCCAGACAAAGGACAACAGCAGAGGCAGCCCTGGCACAGCAGCTGGCAGCAGGTGTGGGGGTGGCAGGGAGGGCACAGGAATGAAGTGCCCAGAGGAAGCCCATGGGTCCTGCATCCAGTGACTGGCCCCAGCAGAGAGCAGCAAGTGGCCCAGAGCAGGGAACTGGGGTGCTCCCTGACAAAAGGCTTGCACAGCCTCTCCACAGCCTTCTTCCAGACAGCTGGGGGCACCCACCTGACCCCACCTAGAGGCACTTTAGCTGTCCTGCCATTCCAGAAGTGAACAATGATTTCCTCTTCCTTTGATGCTATGTAACAGAAAAGGGAAACATTTTGTTACAATTATATCTTCTTTATGGTGGGATAAGCGTTCTCCTATCCCCAAAGGCAAAGGCTCTCTGCTGAGTCTGCCTGGCTCCTCATGTGCCTCTCCCTGGCCAGCCTGCTGGGACCACTCCCCTCGCCTGCACCATATTCACCACCACTTCCTGGTGGACTTGCATGAGCCTCCCTGCCTCCTTGACTACAAGATGACCTTGAGGGGCCCATTTTTCAGGTCAAAACCAAAATGCATCTTCAGTAGAAGCCTCCTGTCATTCTCTGAATTCCAATGGTGCTGACTAGCCCTGCAGAAGAGGAGTGTCCAGTGTCTGGAGGACTTGGTAAGGGATGGGTTGTGAGTATTGGTGTGACCCCAGAATGACCCCCACACACCATGGTTTAGCTAACTAACATAGACATAGTAGTTTTAAGCCATTTTCTCTGGTAAAAATGTTTTATAATCTGAAAGAGATGATTTGTATATCTGTTACCACCCCAAAATTAAGTGGCAAGTAAGGGGGTAAAGATTCTTTTTTTAATGCCTCTAAGATCCCTGAGCTGTAGAGACACCCTTTGCTTTCTCCTCTGGCCTGATCACCAGGCTGGCTCCTTTGGTGGACTGGCAAGTCAGAGCACCTTCCCTTACCTCTGTGGGGGTCTCTCGTTTCCAAGCTCAAGAGAATAGTGCCAGGGCCATACCGCTGTTGGTCTGGCTCCCAGGGTGCCAGCACCTTGTCCCCAGGCTGCAGTGAATATCCTATGGATGGTGAGAGCTGAAGGACTTCTTCTAAGACCACCCTCTGCTGCTTTAGGCCTGTGACAAGAGGACCCTCGAATTCTACAAGCAGGGTCCCCTGCCTCTCCAGCTGTGGGAAAGAAAACAGACTTAAGGTCTGGCACTAGGAAGGGAGTCCCCAGTTTCCTTACGATGCCCCAGAACAGGCCCAGGGTCTTCCTAACAAACAGTGAGGGGCCATCTGTAAAAGGGACAAGGACAGGTGCTACTTAGAGCTGATTGTCATGGAGACAGGCAGGCTGGGGTACTGTGGCTCTTCCTGCCACCTCTTCTTGACATAGGCGACTCTTGTTCATCACTTCCTGCCTTTCCCTTCCATCCTCTTCCTCTCTCTGTTTTTCTTTCCTCCTACCAAATTTTTGGCCTGCAATTCCCAGGATTAACCTGGGTCCTCTGGATCTTTCCCCAATGCACTCTCCTCCTCCCAGCACTCCCAAGAAGTGTACTTGCAGCCAAGACCAATCAGGGATGGTTTGTTTTTCATCTGTGAGGCCCACATGGGCAAGGAGAAGTTGTGGCCATAGGGCAGCCCAGCGCTGCCCTGACAGTCAATGACAAAAGGTTTAGCTAAGCAAATGAATGGCATAAAAGAGGGAAAGTACAACTGTTTCCAGTACACAGTATGATTTGAAGAGAAAGTGTGGTTACAAATTATTTTTATCAAATCATAAGGCAAAACCTACATTTGAGCAAAACTCTGCTAACATTTAATTTGAATTTACATATTAGTTACTTGAAAATGACAAAATGGCTTTTAATTGGAAATTCTATAATTTATGTTTTTGAGAATTCACACTAGCCTTCCTTCTATGGAGCCACATTCACAAAGCCTGACTCTGAAAAGAAGAGAAACATCCCAAAGAAGTAGGTACCACTGAAGTAAAGCCCAGGCCTTGCTCTTGTCGTGCCAGGAGAGCATATAAGCACACACGCGTGTGTGTAGGCAAATGTGTTCTACTTCTCTTTCCCTCTGGCTGGTGCCCAAAATTCAACACACTGAATTTTCCTGAACAAATGTACATTTTCTTCACTTATGGATTGAATTGTGTCCCCACAACCACCAAATTCATATGCTGAAGTCCTAGCCCCCAGTATCTCAGAATGTGACCTTATTTGGGAATAGAGTCATTGCAGATGTAATTAGTTAAGAAGAGGTCATAATGCCTATGGGGGGCCCCTAATCCAATGTTATTGGTGTCCTTATAAAAAGAGGAAATTTGGTCAAACACACTTGGAAAAATTCACATGAAGTTGAAGACAGATCAGGGTGATTTGTCTACAAGCCAGGAACACCAAAGATTGCCAGCAAACCACCAGAAGGTAGGACAGGGTCATGGAGCAGATTTTTCCTCACAGCCCTTGTAAGGAATCAACCCTGCTGACACTTTGATCACGGACTTCTAGCCTCCAGAACTGAGACAGTAAATGTCTATTGTTTAAGCTACTCAGTTTGTGGCACTTTGTTACGCCAGCCCTAGCAAACTAGAGCAGATTTTTCCTCACAGCCCTTGTAAGGAATCAACCCTGCTGACACTTTGATCACGGACTTCTAGCCTCCAGAACTGAGACAATAAATGTCTATTGTTTAAGCTACTCAGTTTGTGGCACTTTGTTACGCCAGCCCTAGCAAACTAATACACTCACTAATATCTCATGTTCACTTCTACAAACTGGCCATGGAAGATCTGTGCTTATCCAAAAACTATACTGCCGACACAAACAGCTGGGGCATACAGGTCTGACAGGGCCACCCAGAGTAGCATGCTAGGCAGATGTGAGGAGTCAGGGACTTGCCTCTGGAGCTGTCTTTATCTGAGCCCGGTAATAAAAGCCATCTTGTTCCCTTCTTGCCAGGACCCACATGTCAGCAGCATCTCCAACTCTTCCCAGCCAGCCCGGCCTCTGCCATGCTGGGTCAGCAATGTGGAGACATGGGTGATAAGTGGTATACCTGGAGAAGAGCAAATAGAACTAGGGGTGGAGAGCACCAAGCCCTAAAAACATCAAGAAACACGTTTCACAGTTAAATCTGAGGAGCACCACAGCGTGTATGACATACAAGGATATGTGGAACAGAAATCCACATAGAAAGTGGCAATCCATGACTTCTGGTAAAATAAGGTAAACTTTTGGGAGGGGAAGAAGGAGAGGACAGTGAAGGGAACCATCATTTGTGGATTGGGAATTGTTTCAAGGTAGCCAAAATGTGATCAGCCTTAATATATTGAAGTTAATTGATGCTTGTTCTTAGACTAGACAACAGACCAGGAAAGAGTGGTGTGAAGGTACATCCTAAGGCAGTGTGTGGGACTCCAGTATGAGGTGTGGAGGTTTGGATGGTAATGCTAAAGGAGCACAATTGTAAGGCCACTCAGCGCTGTGTGTCAGAGGGACGAGGATGTGTTTGAGCAGGGGCAGCACAGAGGAGCTGAGTAAGGGGCTGTGGGATAAAGAAAGGAGAAGCTTGTTCTGGAAAATTTTGTGGGCAGGGCCAGCTGGCCTGGGGGGGTTGTTGAATCAGGGTTTGAACAAGCCGGAATACAAAGATGCTTAACTCTGGCCTTGAACAGAATGGGCCACATAGGTGAGTCCAGAAAGGGAGCAATTAAAGACCATTCAAGCTGGCATGTCCCTAATCTGGGCACACTGAATTGAGTAGCACGGACATGAGTCCCTGGAACCTACACAATTCGTAGGTGCATATAGGCTGAGGTTCTTTGCCCTCTTGAACTCACACTTTAGACAGCAGACAGGATACTATTCAGGAAAATCCTGGACAATGAGGGATGCTGAGGGAATCTGAAGAGGGACCCATCTTAGTTGCTGGTTGTGGAGATTCTTAGTTGCTGGTTGCAGAAACTCTAATTTCTCATGTGCTGCCAGAGTAAGTCTTTAGTTGAATCTTAGTTGCTGGTTGCAGAAACTCTAATTTCTCATGTGCTGCCAGAGTAAGTCTTTAGTTGAAGAGAAAATGAACTAGAAACTTTGTAATTGGTCATCCCTGACCGCCTCCTCTCATACATGCCCACCGCGACATCCACCACTATGCTAAAAGGTGGGACAAAAGCCAGGTCAACACCGGAGGTCACCAGGAGTACAGATTAGGCTGGGGTAATATACTTATACCCCACGCAAATCACAGGCCAACAGGAAAGGCCCTTTCACCCTTCCCAGGAGGCAAGTTCTCTCCCTTGTGGTACACCGTCTAGAGCCAGGAACAAAGGAAGAAGAAAGAGGCACACCACTTCCTCCAGAGGGGCAGAGACAGGTACCTCGTGGGGGGGTTGCTCCTGGTG